TTAGAAGGAGACATCCCTTGAGGGGGCTGGTGGGGTCCTAGTCCTCCCCAAATCCACCACACCCCTGGACTCCCCCATCCCTCCCAGAGATGCTGGCTCCAGGGTTAGACTCTGGGTTGGAATACTGGCCCCACCTTTTATCAGCCGCCTGCTCTTAGGCAAGTGGCTTAACTGCCCTGGACTTCAATTTTTCTCGTCTATAAAGCAGAATAAAAGTACCACCTACCTCATAGGGTGGCTGTTAGGAATGTATTAATACTTCTAAAACCTAGTGAAGTGCCTGGATCACAGCAAGCGTTCAACAATGTTGCGTATTAATATGATTGTCGTTATTATTTTCCACGTGGTCTATTATTTTCCATCAAGGGTCCCTCGGACCCAAAGCTCCCAGGCCCTCGGCTCGAGATGCCGCTCCCCGCGTGGCCCCTAGAGGGCGCCCGGAACTCACTTGTCCTGCGTTTCTGCGTTGAAGCCCCTGGCCCGGCTCCCACTTCTGGGAGGCTGCTGAGTCGCCGCCACCGCCTCCAGCTTTTGGGTCTTTCGACTCCTCCCGCAGGAACCGAAGATACGTGGGCTCTGGGACCACAGGACGGAAAACGTGAGGGAGCCGCGGCAGCTCCCACCGAAGCCTCCTCTTAGGGCGGCACAAAGCAGGGGGCGCGCTCCCCACGCCCCCGCGCCGCTCACAACCTTCTCGCACACCCAAGGAGGCCGGATTTCCGCAGGCTTTGGGAACCAGAAGGGCCTTGCTAGGGTCCTCGGCCGGAACCCCGGGCGGCGCAGCGCCCCCAAGCCCAGCCTCAGGCTCCTGGGGTGCGGTTGCCCGCCGAGCTGCAGGGTGGAAGCTAAAGAACGCGGGAGGCAATCCCCACCCCCTAAGTCGGCTTAGACCCTCCTCCCTCCCGGCTCGGGGAGGAGCGGTGGGGAGGAGAGGGGCTCCCGAGGCAGGGTGGCCGCCGAGTAACCGCCAGAGGAGTTTGGTGGGGCCCGGACGGGCGTGAGCTTGTGAGAGTAACTGCGAACGCCAGCCTTGGAGACTACGTGTGCGTGTGTGTGCCTAGCACCGCACACCTGTGGCTCCCCTTGTGTAACAGCGCACGCCCCAGTCGTTGCATAGCTGGAGGAGGTATGTGAGGTTGCACACAGCCATGCAGGCTGTGAGTGAGGGGATGTGAGTTTGTACCCACTCCTCGACACAACATGGGTCCCGCATCGCTCCCTCCACTCCCCCCTTTCCCCCTAGCATCATCCATTTCACACACTATCTTCCGAGTCAGCTCTGAGCTCCTTGGAAAATCCGAACTGGTTCCAGCCCTCTCCCTCCCTCAGTCTGTTCCTATCGGAGTCTCCAGGATAAGGAATGCAGGTGTGTGGGTGCAGGTGAGCGGGGTCGGGGCCTCCCTGGGCCCACAACGGGCAGCGGATTTGAGCCACGCGGGGAAAAGAGGAGGCGGCTCCTGTGAGTCGCCCAGGCAGCAATGCCGCTGTGGGGCTCGGGGCTCGACTCTGAGCTGACTGGGCAGCGCCTTGGCCAGTGAGGAGCTGGTGGGGAGCCGGACGCCGGGGCTGTGTGGGAGTGAGAAGTATGTGAAGGTGGGTGTGAGGGGAGCAGGAGGGGAGCATGAGGGAGGGGGTTTCCTCCCACATCAGGCCTGAGGGGCCCTGGGGCAGCCCCAGGACCACAGCTCCCCCTCCCATAGCATGGCCGCTGATCCCCAGCTGCCCCAGCTTTGCACTGCGGGAGGGAGCTCCCTGCTTGGTCGTCTCTTACACCTGGAACCTACCTTGCTCACCTGCGAGTCACTCACACCACAAACAGAACGCCCGAGTCCTAGGCCCAAGGCAAACCCCACACCTGCCACCACAGTGGGGGCGTCACAAGGCAGTGCTGAGGCCGTGCCCGCACAGCCCCCAAGGAGAGATCCGGCCACACAAAGCCGCTATTATAGTTAACAGGTTGAGCCAGATTCTCTGTGTGCCACCCCGGCACAGCACGGGGCCTCTAGGACCCCAGTCGGGCACGGGTTTCTGGGCCCGCGCAGGCCACCCCTACTCGGCACCCTGCACCAGGGCTGAGCGGGCGCTCAGGGCTCGCTCCCGGGAATTTGGTCAGTGCAGTCGACTCACTCAAGCTAAGGAAGGAAGGGGGCCTTTCTGCCCAGACAGGTTCGTTAATTCCTCTTCTCTTCTCCCCGCACCTTTACGCACAATTATACGGATAATTTTACTTTGCTATTTTTGAAGAGAGACCGACCGTTTCTGGCAGGCGCGGTGGCAGGCCGGGAGTCGTGAGCTTCCTGCTGCGGGTCTTTGGCCCTGACTGTGACCCTTGCAGCCCCCTCCCCTGCAGCTGCCGCCCCACTCGGGACGGGTTGTGCGGGTCCAGCTGCCCCGGGCAGGCCCCGCGGCCATCCCAGCCTGTCTCCGCTGCCGCGGCCCTCGGCCGACGCGGGATTCGCCGAGATTCAGTCCCAACGAATTTCCGGCGGAGGGAGGGGAGTCTTGAGTGGTCCCTGGGCTCCGAGGGCCTCCGTGCCCTGGGGAGTCTGGCACCCCTGGGACGCCTGGCCCGAGGGCCTGGGTGCCTGGGAGGGGCCGCGGGAGAGCGCGCGACCCGGGCCTGGAGCGAGCGCGGAGAGCAGGCGCGGTATCCGGGCAGCTGGTGCCGGTAGCCGGTGGCCGCCCGCAATCGGCGCCAGGGCCCAGCGCTCCGGGTCCGGCATGCGGGATGCCCACTTCCCTGCAAGTCCCCGATTCGCTGGAAAGGGTCCGAGAGCAGCGGGGCTGAGGCGGCATTCGCCCACGAGGTTAGGAGTGTGAGCCCTAGCTGTTTGTGAAGATGGGGTAGATAGCAGGTATTTGGGGGAGGGTGTGTGTTATACCAAATTTTGCTTGCGTTTGTCTTGCAAGAGGAGGTGGGGGACGGCAGTGAAGAATCTGGATTTCCGAATTGGTTTAGTGGTTTGTGCCCTGGGGCCGGCAGCCGCTCCACTCTCCTGCCTCGGCTCCTTAGCTGGACAGTCTGTGGCCAGAAAATTTCCAGGAGCCTCCGGGCACAGCAGCCTCTTGAGGGAGTCCCGGGAACTGGGAGGTGGGAAGAAGGCCCCAGTCTCCCCTCGGATCCGGCGGCTCTGGAATCCTGCAGCAGGGGGGCACTGAACGTGCGTCCTAAAGACGCAAATGGAGGAGAGAAACAGTACCAAATGAAGAAGGTGCGGGCTGGGAGGCTCCAGTCCGGGCGGGAGGGGAGGGGATAGCCAGACTTGCTCTGGCAGGAGACGAATTCTGCGGTTCCGGGAGGCCATTTCCGGATTTCGCTGGGCCGGGTACTGGACGCTGCAGCCGGTGCAGGCGGGAGACCTGCTGAAGACCCAGAGTTGCACCAGAACCTTATGTCCACCACCGATATCCAGCCTGCCAGGGCCGGCGTGGTCACCTGGTGGGCCTGAGGGGCGGGGACAGAGGAACCAGCCGATGTCCTTTGGACTCAGAGTCTTCCTCTCCTGCCAACATTCGGGTCCAAGGGGGCCACAGATGAGGGATGGATGAACACTGCCCACTCCTCACTCAGCCAAATTTCCCCTTGGGTCTCCCTGGGTTCGAGGTTGCTGTGCTCTTTGTCCCCATATAGTATGGCAGGTCCAGGATGGCAGCCTGGGCAGGAATGAAGGAGAGTGGCTCTGCTGGTTTCTATGGCTCTCCCCACCACTTCGTGGGGGTGCACACAGCTCTGCAGATAAGAACAAGCCCTTCCACTTGCTTCTGGTTTCTAGCCACAATGTTCTCTCACTCTCCAATCCCTCCACTCCTCTCCGCTAGGATGGCGTGCTCCCCAGAACCTCCACCACCTCGCTTCCTCCAGAAAAGCAGGCCCAAGTCAGTTTTGCACACCTAAGATTGGTCTAGTAGGTGGGGGACTAGATGGTATGGGGAGTGTGTGTGTACTGTGGCTGCTGTCCTGGCCAGAGTGGTGTAGAGGCTTCCTGAAGGTCCCTGGGAAGTCACTTATTTAGATCTCTCCTAGGCCCGACTAGTGCTGGGAGCTGGGAAGTCCTGCTTGGAGCACCACAGAGGATCCTGGCCCAATTACTGTCTCGGTGTGCCCCAGGCCCTGCTGCTTGCTGGGTAAGGGCCTGGAACCCCAGAATTCCTAGCAGATGTTGGTGCCCTCACAATGTATTTGCACACCCCACCTTAGACCCCTACCACCATGTACACCACCAGTACACAATTACACCCACTCACACACAGCCACACACTCACCCGCAGGGAGAGTCACCCAGAATAATCCATACTCCCCACTATATTCACTCTCTCAATTACACACTGTTATGAATAAGTATATACAGTTAAAACACACATCTCACACATGATTACATCTCACACACAATTACATTCACACAATTAAAGATGATACACAATCACAAACATTCACATATTTAGCACAAAGATAGATTCACAAGGAGAAACTAATATGTATTCTCACAAACATTAACTCATGATTCATACACAATCACAAATACGGGTGGGTAATGACACAATTACCCCAAAAGACACAGTCCCATTCACACATGGTTACATACACACCACTACAAGACCCTGTGTACCATGACAGTTTCGATTTGCAACTTAAGCAGAAGCAAGCACTTACACACGGTAATTGCAAACACAGTTACACTCTTAAACACTATTACAAACATTCCTTATCAGTAACATCCTGATTGCCCACACCATCACAAACACAATGCACACACACAACTCTTACACCCAAAGACATCCATATATCTTGAGCGCTAGCTGTCCCAGGAGAGCCTGGCTCTTCCTCCTTTCCTCAGCTCTGCCTTCTCTCCGTCTGCCCCCTTCCTTCTTTCCTCTCTCCAGAGCTGGCAGGTCCTGGCCCCCAGATGTCCCTCAAGCTCAGGCACTAGCACTGTACCAGCTCACACCAGACCCAAGTAGCTGCAAGGTGCTGGGCTCAGCAAGGGACAGGCAGCCCTGACTCTGGATCTGAGGGTTTTATTATTTTTTCACATAAATTACACAAGCACTTTATAAAATGGTTACACAGAAAACACCTTATAAGTGCATAACTTAAACCCCCCCTATGAACAGGAGCTGGAGAAATGGGCTGAGTGTCTGTGAAAACCTGCCTGTGCGTACCTGGGTGCAGCTAGGATGTGTGATGGGGGCCTCGCAGGCCAAGTGAGGATATTGTGGCTGTTGTGTATGGGATGGTGTGTCACAGTGTGGTGGTGGCCTTGCGTTTGTGAGAAGTGCCATGCCGTTCAGAATGAGTCTGGGTCACTCCTGGCTTATGTCTGACAGTGAGGGTCAAAGGTGCAAAGGCTATGGCCCTGTGTGTTCATGACACTCCACCATAGGTCCCCTGTGTGTGCTTCTGGGGTGACACCAAGAGGGATGTGAAATTGCCTCTGCGTGGGCCTATCGATGTCCATGTGTGATAAGGAGTGGGGTACAGAGAGGAGGTCTCCTCAGGGCAAGTTCAAATGACAGCCTGCGCAGTCCTCTGGGGACCCCAGAAGCTATTCTTCCCCCAACTCCCCTGCCTCTCTTGGTCCCATGTTGAAAATCAGAATAAAATAAAATAGATGCAAACTGAGAGGACTCAAGAGTTTCAGCGGGAGCAGGAAGGCAGGCGTCTGGGAAGAGGTTGCAGTGCCCGTCCTGGCTCTTTTTTTCTTTTCCAAGAGGGAATAGTGTCACCGGGCCGATGGGGAGAGGTGAGGCGTCCTGTCCCCTGTGCAGTCTGAGGCGGGGAGGGGTGGGAGAGAGTCCTGGCTCTCAGGCCTCAGCACCCCTTGGCTGGACCTGGGGTGTCACACGGAGTGGGCAGGCTCACTCGCAGGCTGATGCCACCGACGTGACACTGGTGATCTTGGTGGAATCGTCAGACCAGGGCTGCAGGTTCTGCAGGGCGAAGAGCGAGGAGTTGTGCACACATAGCGGGTCGGCGGGCAGCGGCTGCGCCAGGCTCTTCTGGAAGGCCTCTTGCTGCAACTGCAGGAGGATGCGGTTTGCCTGCTGCCTCTCGGCCTCACGCTCCTCCGCGGTCTGCCGCCTGCACCGGGGACAAGCCATTACTGACACTTAGGGTGCCCTCCCCAGAGACAGCCTCAGTGAGCACTGCTTCTCTTCACTGCCCCCAACACCAGCTTGGGCCCCTTTAACTCATTCCCTTGTCTTGAGGGCCCTGACTCCTACAAAGACTGAAAACCCCAAAAGTAGATGGAGCAGAGCTATCCCGGGGGAGCTGTGGGAAAGTCTGCCGGGCCCAAGCAGCTGGGGCTCCCGCCTATGCGCAGCGCCCACACCCTCACCAGCCTTGGACGGTGCAGCCAGGGGTTGGATGGCATCTCGCCTCTCCCCAGCCCTGAGGAAGACCACATGCCGTCCTAAGCCAGAGGGGCCTCAGCTCTCTGACAGTCCCGGGCAGCAGCAAGGGCCGGGTGCATACGAGCTGCCCTGCCAGACCTCTCTTCTCCCCCTTCTCTCCGGGAACCTCTCCCAGACCTCAGACCTCCTGGGCTGCCGAGCCCTGTGCCCTGCCCGGACTCCCGCCGGGCCAGCCCGCTTCCTCCGAGGTGGTCCAGGGAGGCGATGACTCACTTATTCCATTTAATGCCTCCCCTCCACCCGTCAACTGAGATCAAACGTCTGTCTCTAAGGTGGACAGACCTAATGGGAGTCCCCGGGGCCTCCAGAAGCAATTTGTAGGCGATCGATGAAGCCGCGCAAAGCCAGCCAGGGCCTCTCTCAGCGGCGGCCACAGGCCTCCTTCCTGCCGCCCTTCTTGCCCTGTCGCTCTGTCTCTCTGCCTCTAGTCTTCTTCTTCTCCCCTGCCTTTCCAACGGCCTGAGTGTCTCTCTTCCGTTAGGCTTTGTGTCTCTCTCTTGTTTTCTCTCACCCCCACCTCCTTCATTCTCTCAGAATGAGGGGAATTTGTTTGAAACGAAAATTGGGGTTTTAGGCATCTATTGTTTTCCTTTATTATACAGAAGACCTCTTCGGGCTGCCTGCTTTTCTCCCCTTCTCCCTGGAGTAGGTTGTCTATCTTTGCCCCTCCCTTTGTGTTTCAGTTTCTCTCTCTGCCTGCCACTCTGTCTCCCTCTGTGCCCCCCACCCACTTGCCTAGTCCCTCCCCTCCCCTCGGCTGCAGCCCTGGGTGAGCCTTGGGAACACCATGCCTCCCCTACCCCACTAGCCGATGCTCCCTCTTTAACTGGCTTTCCAGAAGTCTGAAGAGGCGTCCCCCACCCCTTCCCCAGTGGCAGGAATGTGGTGGGGGCGGGCAGCAGACTTGCGGGGCAGTGGCTTCCTTTGTGGCCACGACAGCGGAATCCCGGGCAGATTCCTCGCCTTCATTCAGAAAAAGAGGAAACTCCAATTCCTTCCTCCCGCCCCAGGCCCGCCCGGCCCGGCGCCGCCGCTGACTTCGCCCAGACTCTCTTGCGCTCCCCCCTGAGGCCTGAGCTAGCGAGAAACTCCTGGCGTGTGTGGAATCGAGAATGCGGGCCATGTGCGGGAGGATGCAGGAGTGCAAGAGGGTGCGGCCCGAGAAAGCGCTGGTGTGTGCGGAGAATAAGGCAGCCCGGGAGTGTGTGGGACGCGTTTTGTACGTAAGGGTAAGAGAGCGAAAATGAGAGAAGTGGAAGTATATGTGGGGGGGAAATTAGTGTAGTTGCGGGTGTGAGACGGGAGAAGGAGAAATGTCTCAATCACACACACACCCATCTGCTCCTAATTGATCCCCCGTTCAGTGGAACCCTCGAAAACCCCGCCGCAGCCGGTGCGGATTGATTTTCCCCTTCCACGGTTGGGGACCGGCTGCGAGACGGCCGGGCATCTGGGGAGGAGAGAGTCAGCCGGGACCAGGCCGGCGGTCTGGGGCCCCAAACGCTCTGCCGGGAGCCCCGGCTGGGGCGCAGAAACAAGGCGCAGGCCGTCCCGTCTCCGGGAGAGACGAGAGGCATCTCCGTAAGCGCGGGTCTGCGCAAACAAAAAGTCTCTCAGAAATCACTGATCCAGGAAGCCCGGACTGCATACACCGTGCTCTAACTCGGCTGTTTCCCCAAGCAGCTGCGGAGACCAGCCTCGTCTACACTGGCACTGAGTTTGCCTGCCAGACAGCCCTGAAGCCTCCAGAAAAACAGAGCCGGGCTCTCCAGCCCCAACCTGGTCATTGGCCTCGATTGCTTTCCATTCCCCGCGAGTCTAGCAGGAGCGGCTCGCTCCTCTGACCCTATCCGGATCGGAAACCGGCGAGCGGAGGGAGGGTGAGGCCGCGAGAGAGGCCCCGAGTCAAGAGCTGCCACGCCTGCCCCACGCGCTCACCTCCATTTCGTCCGCCGGTTCTGGAACCAGGTTTTGACCTGCGCGTCGGTCATTTTGAGCGCCTTGGCCAGGGCGGCGCGCTCGGCCGAGGCCAGGTACTTCTGGCGGTGGAAGCGCTTCTCCAGCTCGCAGATCTGCAGGCGCGTGAAGGACGTACGCGGCTTCTTCTTCTTGGGGGGCGTCCGGTTCTGATAGGGGTGACCTATACGGCGTGTTACAGTGAAGGGTGAGAGGGCCACTGGAGCGGGAGACAGACAGACGGCAGAGGCAAGCGGCAGAGCGTCAGGAGGCGTCCCAGGCCCGACACCCCGCGAGTCATCAAGCGCAGCGGCTAGACCCCAGGAGCAGGGCCCTGATCCTCCCGTCAGTCCTCAGCTCCAAGCCCGCTGCGGGAACCGGCCCCCTCCCGCCGCCAAGCCGACGCCGCCCCTGCCACCACGGAGGCCTCCCTAGCCCCGGGCTCCCACGTGCCCAACCAGACCCACTGGCAGTCGCCTCCCCGGTCTCCTTGAGGGACAAGTCTGAGGCGAACTAAAGGTCACAGTACCCCACCACCCCAGGCCTCCACCTCAGAGAAGCTACTCAACAATAAGAGGCCATTCTTGGTCAAGGTCCTAGACCCTGGGTCCTGACCTGAAGCTCCATCACACAGCAACATACACAGACACGTCACATACCACAGGGTCAAATTATAGATCTATACACTCAAATAGGCAGAAACACAGACAAGCAAAGGTGCAGACACACACAGGACACAGGGCAACACAAGGAGACAGTCACTCACTCCCTCAGAAACTTCTTCAGGCCTAGAGCAAGATCAGGGCGGGCTGTGGCTCCCCTAGGTAGGCCCTAAGTGGAGTACCTTTCACCAGAGGCCGATGACCAGTGGGCCCCAGGCTGGGCAGTCTATCAGAGCCCTTCAAGACTGGCCTGGCCTGTTTGAGGGGAGTCGGATGGGCACCGGACCCTGCCTCCGGAAGCCTGAGAGGACTTGGTTTGGGGCAGTGTGGCCCCTTGAGTACAGGTCCCTTCCTGGAGGCCCAAAGCAGAAAGGCTGTTCTGCCTCTCCTCACCCCACACGCTTTTGCACAGACCCACAGTCTGGGCCAAAGTTCCAAGGCTGGAACAGGAGCAGGGGGACTAGGGAGTCTTGGGGTCGCCTAGCCCAGGGTCTAGCTCTATGCTACCTATCCTACTCCGCCGACAGCCCCTGGAGGATGAGGCTTGTGGGAGTCCCAAGTCGCGGTCGGCAGCGGCCTGTGCCTTCTGCCTCTTCTCTCTAAGGCCAGCCGGGAACCCAGACTCGACTCGTGGCTGCTTCCCAGGGGGCTTGAGGGCCTGGCCCGGCGGGAGGATCGTGGTCTTGGATCCAGGGAACGTAAGGGCGGCGGGAAGTGAGGCCGAGAAAAGAGACCCGCGCAGGAGCGAGAGCTGAGAGCTGAGTGCCGAGGTCGGAAGCGGGAGCGGAGGGAGCCGGGGCGAGCGCAGGCAGGCGAGGAGCAGGCAGCGGAGAGTGCGTAATCGTCCCTTGAGTTGTCCTTCGGCCGCCGATCGATCTCGGGCCTGGCCCGTGCATTATTCACGCCAGAGGGAATTGGCCTGGGCCCGAGGGGGAAGGACGCCGAGCCGGGACAGAACGAAAATGAAGCGGGCGGCTCGGCCTCACGCTGCCACCGACCAGGACGAAGCCTGAAGTCCGGGAAGAAGGGCCCGCCAGCTGCGCTGCTTTACTTGGGCTCGAGGTCTCTGCTGGGCCCGGCAGCGCGACGGGCACTGGAGTTCGGAGCGGGATGTGTGTATGTGTGTGTGTGTGTATGTGTGTGTGTAGGGTACAAGGGGTGGGGAATCTGTTAATCTGTTCTTGCCTTGCGTCTGATTCTGGGTCTAGCTCTTTCGGCCGGAGAACGTCGGCCGGGAGGGAAGAAAGAGTTTGTTCACATCGCGCCTCTTTCTCCGAAATTACAGAGCCGCAATGCCGGCGGAAGGTACTCCCGAAGCTATACATCCCCCTTCCCTCCGCCTGACCGGGCCCAGGGACTCTGAGAGGGCATCAGGGTGCGCTTCTCAGAGCACGGGTCCTGCGGAAGAGTCGCGGAGCGGCCCACGCTGGGAGAACTCTTCGAGCATGACGATCCCGCGAGCATAGAAAGGTAGCAGACGGCTGAACTTGGGGGAAGCACGGAGAGGAGCTGGGCGACCTGGCGCGCAGAGGGGGCTGCGGGGAGCCACTGGGCGGGAGAAGGGTATCGCAGAGCCCGGGCCGCGGCCAGGCGGGGCGCGCGCGGGCCGGACTCACCTGTGAACCTGTCCTTTGTGTATCTCCGGTTACTCTCCATCCAGGGGAAGGTGAGGCCGGTGAGGTTGTTGACGCCCGGCACGGCAGGCACGGAGGGCACGGTGGGCAAGCCGGTAGCCAGAGGCTGAGGGTGGGCCACCGCTCCAGCTAGCGGTCTGTGCGCGGGCACACGGATCACCCCCGCAGCGCTCAGCGTCGCCCCCGCGCCGCCGCCGCCGCCCCCGCCACCGCCGCCGCCGCCGCCCGGACCGGGGCCGCCCGCCAAGGCCATGTTCATGTTGTAGGAGCCGGCCAGCGGGCCCATGCTGCAGGCGCCGCCGCCGCCGCCGCCCCCCGCCGGGCCACCAGAGCCGCCCGGACCGCCAGCGCCATAGGCCCCTGCGCCCCCGGCCCCCGCCCCGGCTGGGGGGCCCCCGCCGCCGTAAGCGTAGGGGCCTCCAACCAAACAGCCAAGGCCATATTCTCCGTCCTGGAGGCGCGAGGCGGGCCCCATGCAGCCGCCCTGGTCCGGGCTGTTGAGGATCTGGTCGATGCCGAAGCTGATGGGCTCCGCGTGGCCCGGGTGGAGATGGTGCGGACCCAGGTGCTCCATGCTAGCCCCCAGCCCCGGCCCCGCGGGGGGGCCTGGGCGGCGGCGCTCGCTGTGCTTGGCTCGGAGGGCAGCACGGAGGGGCGCGGAGGCGGCAGCGGCGCCTGGCTGCGCGGAGACTTGGAGGCGAAGTGCGCGGAAGGGCTAAAGTAAGGGGGAGGGGAAGAAGAAGGGGCGCCGTATTCTTCCCCTCTCCGCCTGCTCCTTCCCCTCTCCGGCTCCTCGCTCGCTGTTGACTCTGGGACATCAATCACCGGGCGAAAAAGCCTGGTGCGAGCGAGCCCTGCCGTTTCGGCCGGGTCTCTCCATTGGCTGTGCGCGGAGAGAAGCGGGGTGAATGACAGCGCGGGGGAGGGGCGGAGAGGGGGCGAGGGAGGCCGGGAGCCAGACAGATGCAGGAGCCAGAGACAGAGGGACGGAGACAGAGGCTCAGAGAAGTAATTCGGGAAGAGAGAGAAGAACGGAACCAGAGACTTAAAAGGAGAAAGGAAAGGAACAGGAGGCGCCCATTGCCGGAGATGGATAGACGACGGACCCAAGGAGGTGGAGGTCCGGCGTTCTTCCCAGCCTGGCAGGAGCCGTCCCCTCACTTTGAATTGGACCAGAGGGGTCCAGCCTGTCAGGCCTCTGGGGGAAGAGGTGTCCCTGCGCTACTGGAGAATCCTCCCAGGGGCTCAGCTGGGAAGCACCTGTCTGTCAACCAGAGGATTTACTCCAAACTTCAAGTCCGGCTCTTTAGACAGAAGACTGTCTACTCCGCAGGTATGGAGCCCAGGCCCCTGAGGCAGGAAGGTGAGTTCAGGCTTGTCCTTCCTTAAAACAGTTGTTCATATAGTCCATGAACAACTGGCTATATGTTGTTGAAAAAATCAACCACCACCCCAGCTCAGCCTGGTTAGAGAAAATGAGAAAGGGAAGACTCCCTGAAAGTCAGGCACAAGTCAAGGGAGTTGGCGTGGCTCCTACTGCCAGGGTGCCATTTGCCTTAAGATACTCCTTTCCTTGTAAATAAACAGATGCCTCAAGAAGCAGTTCCCACAGTATGTGAATGAACTCAGTCAGAGTGCTTTCACCCAGCAACCAGCCCAGGGCAGGCTATTCCAAGCAAGAAACCTTTGGACTGTGGTGAAGCAGAGGAGTTATTTTCTTTCTTTTGAAATCTTGGGAGGGAGGCCTAGGGGCCTAAAGTACTGGGGGCTGGGGACGGTGGGACCAAGATCAGGGCAGTATATCCAGGACAAATTTAGGCCTTTTCAAAGTTTTGCCTGTGGCTGACTGGCTTAGAGCCCAGGAGAGAAGAAGGAAATTCCCTTCTTCTGCTTCCTCTCTTTCCCCTCTCCAGCAGGGAAAGGTCCACTCCCTCCCAGGAGCCGAGGCTGGGAAGGGCACAGGCTGGACCACCTGGGATCTATTTCTGGTGTATTTCAGATTCAACAGGCCTTCAGCGAGGGGCTATTTCTATCAGGCAAGATGCTAGAATATGAAGTCTCACATTCTGCTTCTCAAGTCTCATTGCAACATATTTGCTTTGGTCACATCTGTTATTTCCACTTGCAGAGATCTCCTTGGAGGCAGGGAATGGCTTACTCATCTCTGTTTCCCGCTGTGAAGTACAGCCCCAACCCACAAAATATACTCATCTGGGATGAGAAACAAATGAATGAACCTCCTTATTCAACAAATGTTTATTGAGTACCTACTATGTGTCAGGCATTGTTCTTGGCATTAGGAAAACAGCAGTGAACCAAACAAAGTTCCTGCCCTCATGGAGCGTGTATTTCACAGGGGTGGTCAGACCATAACAAAGAAGCAAATTCAATAAGCCAGATAGTAATAAGTGTTAGAGAGAACACTATAAACTCTACACCAACTCTTCAAGATGAGTATCACCCCTATTTTACGGATGCAAGAGAACCAAATTTCAGAGAGGCTAAGTGACCTGATCAAGTTGGAGGAGCTGGATTTGACTTGCTTTTATGGGTTAGCCTGGAAACCTGGTTGCTAGTTATAAGCACATCTCTATGGATAAAACCTTGTCTGGACTCCACGCAGGTGGAAAAATGCCCATTCAAGACAAAGCCACATGTGAAGCCTGTTGTTGTTTTTAAATATTAAGCAGAAACATGAGGAAAGAGCTCCATTTCCTTTCCAGTTCTCTTTTCTCCCCGCCCCCCCCCCCCCAATCAGGTACTACATCTCTACACAGGAGCTTCCATAACTTTCTTTAATGGTTGTTGTTTGAACCTGAGTTGTCTCTTTCCTGCTTCTTATCTCCAGGGAACTAAAGCAGAGATAAACATGAATATTTTACTGAGAAACTGCTATGTACCAGACACCACACCACACTGATCTCATTTAAGACTCATGACGACCCTGTGAAGTTAATAGAAACATCCTCATTTCTTTTAATAATTAAGAAAATGGAATGAATGTTCATAACAGTATTATTCATAATGGCCCCAAAGTGGAAACAACTCAGATGTCCATCGTCTGATGACTGGATAAACAAAATGTGGTACGTCCATACAATGGAATATTATTCAGCCATAAAAAGGAAGTCCTGGTTCATGCTACAACATGGGAGAACCTAGACAACATTAATGCTAAGTGAAAGAAGCCAGGCACAAAAGGCCACATGTTTTATCATTCCATTCATGTGACCCATCCAGAACAGGCAAATCCATAGAGGCAGAAAGTAGATTAGTGGTTGCCAGCGGTTAGGGGGAGGAGGAAGGGGGAAGTGACTTCAAATGGATATGAAGTTTCTATCTTGAGTGATGAGAATATTCTGGAATTAGATAGTGCCGATGGTTCCACAATTTTGTGAATATACTGAAAACCACTGAATTGCATGATTTAAAGGGCTGAATGTTATGGTACATGAATTATAGCTCATTTTTAAAAAGAAGAAACAAAAACTGAGCCTCAGTGAGATGAACAAAATTGCCCAAAGTCCCACAGTCAGAAGAGGATTGATCTGAGATCCCAAAATCTGGACTGTTGTCCCTGTAGGAGGCTGAAAACAATGGGGAGGGAATGCTTCAGCTTCCTTTGAGGCTGGGTCCCAGTGGCCCTGCTCCTCTCAGTCAAGAAGTCACAATTGTGTCTAGCCACAGTTTTTCCTACTGCAATTAAAACCCTTTCTAGGTTATCCTTTGCTACTCTCTGGCCCAAGTGGGAAACCCCTTGATGTGTTCCTAACATTCTTCTCCTTCCTCCCTTCCTCCTCCCCCAGACGTACCTTCCCAGCCCCTATGGCTTTCCAACCCTGCCTGTTCTAATCCTTCGGGCATCTGCCTCACTTACCTCTTGAACTCCTCAGATCTGGTACCAGTTGTCCAAGGTACCTGGGAGGAAGCCTCACCCTTGCTGGCCAAGTCTGAGGTTGGCTGAGGTCACAGCTAAGACTGACAGGATGCTTTTCTCATCAAAATCCAGCAACCCAGAGCCATCCTGACTTCCCCCTGCCCTCACAGCTGCCTGCCTGCCTGCACTCTTCTGTACTTCCCACCCACCTCTCCTGCTTATCAGAGTCAAATTTTATCTCAATCCAGGTTTGAGGTAATGGCTGCCCCTAGCTGGGGTTCTTTGAATCCAGCTTGACCTCAGCCTTTGTCTTCCAATGGGATAGTTGCTGAGGGCCAGGGTTACCCTCTCAGTCCCTTCTTGGCCTGGGAAGATGAGACAAGAGGTGAGGAGTCCTGGGGCCCCTGCCCCTCCCGAAGCAGTGTTACCTGAGCACAGTACTGCAGGTTGGAGTTTTCTGAAATGGGGGAGGAGACTCACGCTGAGCTTATATTTGGTGCAGCTTCTGTATTTCCACAGCACTTTTGCATGCCTTGCAGAGCAGCCCTGTTAGGAAAGAGGAGGGGAGAGAAAGAAGCAGGACTCACACAGCACCCATGATGTCCTAGGCACCTTCAGTCACAGTAATTATCTCATCTCATCCGCAATAATCCTGTGATGTGGCTTTTATCTCCATTTTACAGATGCAAAAACTGAGGCACTGAAAGCTGGAAAGGGAAAGACACTGGACTCGAGTGCTGATTTTCTGACTCCATTCCTTACAAGCTGCTTCCTCAACACCAAACTTGGCAGATGTGGCCCTTGCCTTGCAGGAGTATCTTGCACACCTCTAAGTGAGTTCCAGCCCCAAGGCCGCCTGGTCACAACCCCCCAAGCACCATCCACCCCCCTCGCCTGCGCCTGCGGAATAAAGAAGAGCCTCCAATTAAAAGAGGAGCAGCTGGGGCTGGAGAGGGGGAAAGGGAGGGCTCAGCCACAGGGGGAGACCCTTTTGGATCCCACACGGCTCCCTCCCCCCTCTGGGAGAGACCCTTGGGCCAGGGGTTGTCCTTTAACTTAGGGGTGTGTGTGATAACTTAATTACTTTGTGTTTGTGGGGCTGTGCAGCCATGGGGGGAAAGCTGGATGGGAATGTGTACATGACAGTGAGAGTAGCTATGCAGATAGAGGAGGCATGTCCTTGAGGAATAATTTTTAAATTTATCCAACAAATATGTATTGAGTGTCTAGTTAATGGATCAGTGTTAGGCTGCTGGATACAACTGCAAGCATGTTGGTGAGAGTGCTGGGGGAGAGGTAGGGGTCTGGGTCATTTTTACAACTGGATTTGTCTGTGTAAGGATGTGTGTGTCAGTGAGGATGCAAGTGAGTGTGTGTTTTCTGTAACAGGATAAGAGTGCGTGTCTCTACAGCTGTTCCTCTGTAGGGGACACATACAGTGGGGTGAGGGTATCCCTCAACTACTGTGTGAAAATATGATGTGTGCTGCCAAGGGGGTGTGTGCATCCATGGGAGGGCTGTGTTAATTTCTAGTGTAATTGTCAGGGAAATGGCCATATGTGGGCCCGTGGGTGCAGGAAATTTATGTCCAATAGGTATTTAGCAGGGAAAGGGTGGACCGGGCTGAGAAATAGGTAAGGGGACGTGTAACGTGAAGAGGTCCATGATGGGACCACTGGGGTCTGGATTCCCAATACCAAAGGTGTCCCTTCTGCCATGCCCACTTGCCTCAGTAAAGGGGGTAGGAAATTTGCCCTTCCATGGAGGAGGCAGGCACAGCTGGTGACTTAGGGACTTAGAGACCCAGAAAAGGGCATTCCACCTTCTTGGAGCCCTGTGGGGAGCAGTTGTCTCTGGGAGGCTAGGTTGGGGAAGGAGGGAGTGAGCAGGTCAGGCTGGTTCTAGCCACACAACTCAATTATTCTTCAGGGCTGGGGGAGAAGGTTGTCCAAGGGTCAGCCCCAGGTGCCCCCACCCAATCCTTACAGTAAGAGACCAAAGACCTCTCCAGCACGGAAAGACAGGCACACGTTTCCCCATCAGTGGAGGGACTCTGAGAGGTAGAAGACAGAGAGAGAGACCTTCCCTGATGTAGCACACAACTTAGCTGTCGTCTGTTTGGCTGCTCATCCCAAAGCCGCTTGAGTAACGGGGTCTTTCGTTCTGCCCTCCCTCTAGGGCTCCCCCTCTCAGCTTCTGATTGAAAAGAAGTTGTTGGTCCCATCACCCCTGGGCACCCAGCTAGGGCCTCAGGCCTCTCTCCAACCAACTCTCTCCCAAAGGAGGGCCAGAGATGCTCAGGTCCCACCATCCTGCACGGTTTGCCCTTGACGGGGGCGGATCTCCAATGCGAGGTCTCCTCTCAGGACGCCAGACCTGAGGAAAAGGTAAGGCAGAGGGGGTGCCACGGGTGAGAAGGTCTAGAGAGGACAGACCCCCATGGCTCTGCCATTCCCTGACAGCTCCTGGAGGGCAGCGAGCTCACTTCCCACCAGTAGGCAAGTAGAGCAGCTTGGCTTAGGCCCCGGGGCAGCAGGCAGGGCCCAGCCTCCTTGTTCTTGGCGTCTACCCTTAGCTCTCCTCAGCGCCAGGTGGGTCCGTGTTGG